ATATATTAAAGTTATAAATAATATATTTAAATACCTTAAAATTTTTTATATAAACTTATATTTTATACTTTCTTTTTATATATATTATTTTTAATATTATAATAGATTTTATAGTTAGCACGACGCCAGGCTAGAGTAGGATAGGGGTACTCACGGTAACCTTTTGCTTAGTGGCCTTTTTCTCCTAGGTAGGCGTGAGTATCTTACCCTTAAAAGGGCTATTCTTTTACAGCTAAGTTAATACCACTACTAAACCGGAGTTAGTTAATTAATTAAAACGTACCTTAAGAGTAGTATTAAGTATAATTATTTTAAAAATAATAAGCTTTTATAAAATATTAATAAAAAGATATTAAAACTAGGTTAAAGTTAAGTAAATATATAAAGTAAAATAGACTAATATATAGTTAAAAATAATGAATAAAATAAGAGAAAGAGACGTTTAGTATTAAGCTAACGTTAAGTAAGAACTTACCTTAAATTAAATAATTAATTATAATATTAATTAGTTTATATATTTATTATTATAATTTAAGTATTTTATTAGATTTATTATTAATTATTTAAGCTTTTTTAAAAATTAAAAATGTAGTTTTCTTATTAATGCTTTAATAGTAAATTAGTAATCGAAGATAAAGGCGTGGAGTTCTATAACTTTAGTTACTACCTCTAAGTACTTAGTATACTATTTAACGGAATTTATATATCTAGACTATAATATTAAAAGTAGTGTACTTTTATAGTTTTTAATGAAATTTAATGTTTCTTAGTGGGGTTATGTATCTTTCATATTAAGGTTTTTTATTGGTTAACATCCTTGTTCGGTACGAAGGTGGCACCTTAAAGCATTCAAAGGGATATATAGTGTAGTTTTTTTATTAATACTTTAACTATATTAATCAAGTTTAATTTAAACTTTCTTACTATAAATAGAGTAACGCAATAAAGTTAATTACTCTCTAAATTAAACCTTATCTGAACGCAATAGCGCCTGTACTTGCCTTTCTTATCCAAGATTTCCCACCTCGCAAGGATGTTTCCCTTCTGTATTTGCAGGGAAAACCTACGAATTCCCATCGCCGCCTTTAGACACACCTGCTCAGGCGCTAAACAGGCACCACTCAGGACTGGCTCAGATGGGATCAGCAACCGCAGCCACTACTTATCCTATACGAGATACGACATGGTTGGTGGCGTTCTCCGGACGTTGACTGAGATTTACTGCTGTACGTGAGAGTCCCCCTGTTAATGTTGTCTGATTGACCTCTATGATCTGCCTCGTGGAGCACAGCTGCGGGGCCGATTTGAAGGTGATGACGGCGTTCGTAAGGTAGCGCTCCTCATCTGGTTCGATTCAATGTTGTGCTTGTGCAAGGGCCATTAGCGGTGTAGTACTATTAAGCCGGCTGAGTCGGTGGCAGCGTCAGGCCCTTCTAAGCTCAAGCATGTTCTGGCTCAAACTTGGAAAAGTTGACTACCTGCTGACCATGATAAAACTATGCACAGGTGAAGCCATCTTCCGGCCCTTATATCGCAGCCTAAAAACCTGTCGCGATATCCCAAGTAGCCGGGTGATATATCAGCGTTAGGCCACAATGCGACGTCATATTAAAAGTCCTTGATAAAGTGCGGACCGTACATTACGGATGAAAATACTACATATAGAAGCGCGCAATAACTTGGAACAGCGCACCTCGTGAACTGTCTCTTCCAATACAACCGGTCGCTGCACAGCCCCACGGTCATCTTCAGCTCTCATTCATGCATACCAGCTGAGGGGGAAGATGGTGGCACTTTCATCTCGTGCCCGTACTCATCCATCGCAGGATTGTCTGATCTGGGATGGATGGACCGAGAGGCATTCTTCTCCTCTGTAGTTGAGTGTTGGAGACCATGTTCGTTACGCCAAACTAGTTTTGGCCTTCATCCACTGTGAAAATCACAATGCTATCCACAATTGGCATCTCCACACGTACCAGCTTAGCAGTTGCCAAGCAGGCAGCATCGTGACTTCATTCACGGGTTCACAGAGAATAATCGCGCCGCACGCATACATCCTCTCTGGAGCCTCATTTCTTTGACATATTCATATTACATAATAGCGAGCCAATTTGTCGGTTGTAGGCGTGCTGGCGCAATGGTAGCGCGTAGTCCTCCTAAGACTAAGGTTCAGGGTTCGAGTCCCTGGTACGTCGATTTTAGGATGCCTTTTTTTTTGCCCTTTTTCTCACTCAAGTCAGGTTTGTACCTTATCTGATGCATATTAGGCACAATGGAAATATGGTCTGTCTTTTCTAATTCCCTCGCTCTCTTACCGATTCCAGCAACTAGCAATAGCGATCCCATGGGGTCGTGCTATTCGTGCTACTAACCCTTACTCTGAAGCTTATTATATAGTTGTTAAAGGAGAGTTATATTAGCCTTTAATTAAGCTAAAAACTAGAATTAAATTAAAGCTAAAGTTAAAGGTATAATAGGGGTATATACTTAAGGCTTAAAAGCATTAATAGGCTTAATAAGCTCGTCCTAAAATTAAGGTAAGATTAAACGAGTCTTAGCGTTAATAGAAACCTATAAAGTATTAATTAACGTATAAAAATAATAAGATTATAAGCTAAAGCTAAACTAGACTTAACTTACCTTTAAGTAAAAATAATTATAAACCTAATTATTAAAGTAAGTAATAGTACTAGATTCTATAGGAGTTAGCGGAGCTAGGCTAAAGCTAGGGTATAATCTTACTAGAGATAGTATAATAGAGATAGGCTTAGCCCTTCTCTACGCTAGTAGCGACTTAAGCTATATAAGGTAAGCATAGAATTTAGCGTTAAGTGCTAACCTATACGAATATTAACACGATATTAAGCTAGAGTAAAATAAAGGTACTTATAATAACCTTTTATTTAATAGCCTTTTTCTCTTAAATAAGCGTATAAGCGTAAGTATTTTACCCTTAAAAGAGCTATTCTTTTATAATTAAGTTAATACTACTATTAAATTAAAGTTAATTAATTAACTAAAACGTATCTTAAAGTATACCTTAAGGGTAATATTAAGTATAATTATTTTAAAGATAATAAGCTTTTATAAAATATTAATAAAAAGATATTAAAACTAGATTAAAGTTAAGTAAATATATAAAGTAAAATAAACTAATACGCGGTTAAAAATAATAAATAAGATAAGAGAGAGAGACGCTTAGTACTAAGCTAATATTAAGTAAAAAAATGTAATATAGTGTAGTAAAACTACACTACACTACACTACACTAAAATTCACTAAAAACTATAAAACTACACTACTTTTAATGCTCTAGCCGGAGTAGAATAGAGGTACTTACACGCTAGGCCTAAAATAATACGATATAATATAACGCTTTTCTCCTAGGTAAGCGTGAGTATCTTACCCTTAAAAGGGCTATTCTTTTATAGTTAAGTTAATATTACTATTAAACTAGAGTTAATTAATTAGTTAAGGTAAAGCTAACCTAAACTTAGCTTAAACCCCTACTATATACGCTTTAATAAACTACTACTAGAATAGCTAGCCTAGTAGATACCTTTAACTTATATAATTTAAAATACGCTTTATATAATTATAGGTTATAGCGGGGCGAGGATAACTTAGAATAAAAGTGAGGGGGTTTTTCTTTTTATATAAAGGGTTTTCCCACTTAAACTACATGTAAAAGTACTAGAATAGCTATAATAGCTTTAGGGTACTTAAATAAATAAATAAATATTATTTTATAATTATTAAAATAATTATATTCATCCCTTTTACCTATTATTATAATTATTCTATGATATTAATTAATAACAGCTATAATACCTTTAAAGAAGGCTACTATAAAGGCGCTAATATTAGGCCTTTTCCGCTATTTAAGACCTATTAAACCTTTTATAAGGTTTATACCTTTTTATAGTAATTTACCCGCGAAAACGAAATAGGTATTATAAGAAGGTCTAATAGTAATTATTATAAGATACCTAATAGAGGCTATTAACCTACGTATATCTTATTTATTTATAATTAAAGCCCTTAAAGGCTATTAGCTTTACTAGAGCTTTAATAAGGGATTTTAATAAGGTAGGTTAATTACTTATTTTAATTATAAGTCTTTTATTATATAAATATAAATTATACTTAAACTTATTAGATTATTAACTTAACGTATAATTATAATTAATTTTTAAGGCTATAAGTATATTTAATCTATTATTATCGCACGTTATAATAGTTAAGCTTACTATTAAAAATCACTTAATTTAATGCTATAGCTACTTATAAGGCCTTTAACTTTTTACGCTTTTAAGGCTTAAAACTCTTTTATTTTATACCTTAAGATATTATTAATAATTATTTTTAACTTTATTAAGAGCTTTTTAAAGGTTATAATAGCTTATAAGCCTTTATTATAACCCTTAAAGTTAAAAGTTTACCTTATAAGTACAAATATTATAAGAGCTAGCTTTAAATTATAGTTTAAACCTTTAATAAATACCTTAAGAGATAAAAGTATTTTCCTAATATTTTAAAGATAAATAACACTTATAAGATTAACTATTATAATCTTTACCTTACGTAAATAATAGTTATTATTAATTAAAATATAACTATAAATATCGTATTTATTCTTTTATTATTAAAGATTAAAGATAGCTATTATTAAATACTTATATTATTTAATAAGATTTAAGAAGAGTAAAATAATATTTATACTTCTTTAATTATTATCATAAATATAAAGCTTATATTAAAAAACGTGGTAAAAGCTATTTTCTTAAACTATTAATAGTAGCTCTATTATTTTTATTTATTTACTATTATTTAAGCTTAAATTAAACGGGATTAATAGGGTTAAAAGT